TTTTTTCTACTTGTTACTTTGCACTTTTTGTTAGAAACAGTTTTATTTACTATTTATTCAGGTTTTTTAAGGTATCTAATATTTTGATATTTAATTTCCATGATCTAAATATTCTATAGTTTGTTGTCATTTGGAAGTGTGTAGGCCTTCTTGCATTATTATTCAGTGGCATAAAATGGTCTTTAAAATGACAATAATATCGCTTATCGCAATTATTTCTGGGGCAATATATCGCACAACAAAAAGTTGTTATCGTGACAGGCCTACATATGATACCATCACAGCACTGCCACAGTCATTTTTTTGGGGGGGAAAGCTGATAAGACACAGTTGGACGGACAATTGGAGTGAAAGACAGACGAGGAACACTTACGCTCCAGTCCACTGTGCTGCGAAGCTCCTTGGCCGGTCCATTGCTTAGGGCAGGGAAGGGACTGTGGGCAGGACCCAAATGCTGGAGGCCCGACCGTGAGATGGCTTTCCTGCGGAGCAGAATGACCACAAATAGCTTCAGCCCAAGAGTAAACGCATTCAAGAGAAAATAATGAGACCTTGCTGAAATGAAGGTTTTGACATCTGGGCTAAAGCTCCTTGCTGCTGCACATAAAAGGACTAGTCATCGTGGAGCTAAAGCGGGGACACACTAAAAACACACACAACAGGAGACGGCCGTGTACCTTGTGCCAGTATCAAAATGATCCAGACCAATCTGTTAACCAGTCTGCTTGGCCAGGAAGTTCCCATAATTCCCTGCATGCAAAGAGAGCTTCTGCCTCATATGGTATGAAATAAGCAAAGAATGTTCTTAGACACAATGTGTGTATGTGTGCTTGTGTCACAGCAAGGGAATTGCATGATTCAGTATAGTGTGATCACTTCCTCTGTCTGTCATTCTTCCATAGATTTAGCCATCATCTCATGCCAGTATCACAGTTAGATCTACACAAACTTATATTCACACAATACAAAGTACAAAAAATAAATAAATACCCACACTGTCTGTACAAACACAGAGCACACTACAGCCAAAACATTTCTCAAGTACATTAACACCTGCATTTGCTACTGATATATCAAAGTGAACATGTAGCATGCAGGTTTCATATCTCCAGCTGTGTTATTTGCAAGTTGTGCATATTAAAGTGTGCAACTGAACTTGCTGAATCTCCAAGCTCCTTCCTCAAAAATTGCTGCCACCTGATCTTCCTCCAAAGAGCTCAGTATTTAACATAGTGTAAACACAGCGCCATATGGTCGTCTCTTTTGAAGCGAAGGTTGAAAGTGACCCAACGCTGGGTGTATAATTTTACACACTCACGACACAAGTAACTGAGGCAGGGGGTGAAAAGAACAACGGATGAGGAAATGGTGGGCCGTACACCTGACACCATGCTGAAAGTTTCAAATCCTCGTCTAAAATTATCCCGTTCAGAAAGAACACAAGCGAGAGTCCAGTTACGAGCTCTTTTGTAAAGCGAGGCGGGGCCACGGGATCATGCACCTTTACCCTCCGAGCTAAAAATAGAGCCACTGGTGGATGACATGTGCGTTGGAAACATGCCACGAAATGTGGTGAAGGCCAGGAACATGACAACAAATACATAAACAATATGTCATACATGCGTAGGCAAGAAAAATCTAAACCAGGTTCTCTTTAACATCTCAAACTGCTTCTACACTCTAAAAAATGCTGGGTTAAATACAACCCAGCGCTGTGTAAAATATGGACAAACTCAGCGATTGGGTTGTTTTGACCCAGCAGTTGGATTACTGCACAGAAGGTTGGGTTAAACATTCAACCCAACTGTTGGTTGAAAACAACCCAATTGCTGGGTTTGTCCATATTTTACCCAGTGCTGGGTTGTATTTAACCCAGCATTTTTTAGAGTGTAGACACCAATGTGCTAAAATGGAGATGAAACAAGACTTAAGAGAAAAATGATCTAACGTCTTCTCTAGGGTTTCAGAATAGATCTCAACAATGACCTTCTCTTCAGACAAAGTTGACACTTAAGTAAAACCAATTTGATGACACATGCATCGGAAAAAGGCCATTCATGACAAAATGCTGTGAAGGAAACATGCAACATGAGGAGCTGAGTAAGAAAGCTTTTGTTAGAAAACATCCTGAATACTAAATCATTAGTGTCAAATCCACAGGCTGATATAGAGACAGCGGAAGAGGTTGAGACCTCCATGTCCTCTTTCCCATTGCAGTCAGGTAAATGAGTAACGCATTTCTGTTTAATATTATTCCATGGCATTAAGCAAATCAATCAACGATGTCCACTGTTTAAGGACACCATACATTAGCGTGTATAACCAGTCCTGGGTAAACACCGTGTCATTTCGCAGACAGCAGAACATTTCACTAGAAAGTAATCAACTGAGTGCAGGCAGAATGGAACACGATTTGAGATAAAGGATATGCCACACGCCATCCAGAGCCAGGGGAAACAGACAGGAAGAGCAATCAGCGAGACTGCTATAATGGAATTAGTTCTACTAAAACCAGCTTTGACAGAGGTCTGGCTTCATTGAGAGATTGCAGAAGGATGATGTGCATGTTTGTGACATGTATCATCGGCCAGTATTAATTTGCCGTGCGAGTTCCTGTTTATCCAAGTAGCAGACATGAAGGGATGGACAGAGGGTTTACATGTGCGAATGCAGGGGATGTGTGTTCAATCTCCCTCCCACAACACCCTGCGGTAATATCATCCCTCCTGTGTAGTCATGGCAACAGTCCAACACACGCCACCATTGGTGTATTTAAGTCTTAAATCTTGTTGTCAGCATCATAATCTCTGTCCCCGCTCCCATTGTCTCAGCCAATTACGTTTTGTAGTTGTGTGTGGGATGAAAACTCCGTCCACGCTTTAAGTCAGGTGTCAACCCACGTACACAGTTATGATATCATCTCTCTGCGCCGCCCACTCTCGATCTCAGTAAGAAAAGAAGTAAAAGAGTGAAGTTCTGCTTGGAGTTCGGCTGCTTAAGAGACATGCAGCAACACCTGGTCAAACTAGATTGCAAAGAGACCACAAAACTGTCACTAACCTGTAGCCGAGAAGCCTGTGGTACCAGGTCACCTTCTGCTTCCGCCCTTTCCCACATACTCGCTTCTCCTCTACTGTCTTCTGGGCCCTGATCATCCTTCCATGTCTCCTTCTCAGCCTGTATCCTCCTTTCCTAACTTTCGGGATGTTTAACTCTAACTTCCTAACTCTTCTCCAGCAGCATCCAAAGTTGGGCAAGCAGACGGCTCACTTCCACCACTGCAAGGTAGGCTGACATCACTGTTACACATGGTTGCCTGCTAGAGCCAGAGCACGCCTAACACACCCAATCGTGCAACCTCCTGCTGCCCGTGTAGCACTGAGATCATCAGCCGTCAGATAGTTGAGACCTGATGGAGGATACCTGAGAACACGGAGGCGTGTATAGGTGTCAGATCCTTTCCTGTCACCAGAGACAAGAATCTCTCACAATCATCATTGCCATCGTTACCCCCAGAGAACCAAACCACAAGGTCAGCCCCACGTCTAGCACTTCAAGCTATTTTAAGGTCCATTATGTAACACAAGTTGACCTTCTGCAAGACAATATATGGGCAACCTGTTACAAAGGGACACTTTATCCAGGGATATGTCAGTCTAGCAGAGTAGTTGACTGGCTCTCTGCTCTGCCCAGACTGATTGAGTCACAATATAGTGACTCTAGAGGATGTGACTTAATTCGATGACCTCACACTCTGATGATGCAAAGCTTTTTGTGAGTAGTCTGATTATGTAAAATCAAATATTCGTGGATTGGTGTTCTTCAGTTAGTACGCCAGCAAGTTCTTTCTTGATTTGACTAGTGATTATGAAAGAGTGAAAATGAGGCTGAAAGGGAATGATCCTTCTATGTCTTGACACAAGTGATGTCAACCAAGTAATGTGAAGACAATGAATGATCTGGACACGATCTGTTGGAATGTTCTGGCAGGAAGAGTCTCTGATCTTGTCACTCTCACTTTTTTTCTTTCTTTCTTTTTTCTCTCTACTTCTGCTTCGCTCAATCCCTCCATGTAGCTCTCTAACTGGGTCAGTGTGCTCGCTGTGATTCTTCCTGCCTGTGGGCCCCTGGCGAACATGCACTTGAAGGACAGCTTCTCTGAGCCTTACCATTACTGACTTTCTCAAGGCTACTGGCGCTCCACAGCACAACCCTTCTTCTTCTCCTCATTCTCATCAGAGTAGAAAGTCCTTGACATGGACCTTTTTCTCATGCCTCCCTCTCACTCCAGAGATTAAGATCTAAGGCTCAGCACTGGGGGGGGTGAAAAAACACAAGCGAGAGAAAGATGTGCTCAAGGTAAAAAGTAACTAAATCAACGCATACGCAGAGCTCCCGCGAGACCCCAAGCCTGAGAGGAATCTCAGGCAGATCAGTGATTAGCACTAATTCAATCTTTGTGCTTTTATCTGAAGCAGCAGCGTCCCGATAACAATGTGAAGAACAGAACAACACCAGAGTGTATCAAGAGGCAATACAGGGCGTTCTAGATAAGAACATCACACAACACATTAACAGCACTTAATTTTTAGCACACATCTTGTTATCCGTTTATCGAATTACAGTAAGCAGGTGTCTCACAAGTCTTCTCATGTGACAGATTTGGGACATACATTACATATTTCCCAGATGGATTCCTAATGTTTTTGTGGCTAACTTGTTTCTTGGTGGGTTCAAACCAGCAACCCTCTGGCTACAGCACACAGGAGTCCCACCAAGTGGAAAATAGTAACCAGAAGGTTGCAGATTGAGCCCAACAAGAAACAAATTATCGCCATTGTGCTCTTGAGGATTTTGTCCTTGAAACAGTGCGCTGCTAGTCGCTTTAAACAAAAGCATCTGCTAATCCAGATTTTCCCAAACGTTTTTGATCCAAGACCCTGCAAGCTACTTTGAATGCTTTGGCTGTTTACCCTGTCCCGAAGCAAGGATGCCGTTTCTAAACCATTGCACTTACGCTAATGTTTCCTGAATAAATGTGGTCAGAGTATTAGTCACTCAGTTTATATACGTGTCGGGGCTGAATTCCCTCAGGTTCCCTTTTTGTATGTGTGTGTCTGTGATGTTGTTGTTGTTGTGACTATGTGTTCATGTGTGTGCCGGACGGAGACACATATCTCTCAATTGCCCCTGAGCTCTGTCACTGCAGCCTGACACACACCCACTGACAATGGCAGGAAAACTACACACAAACACACACATAAATACGCAAACTCAGCACATACATCACACTTCCCCGGATCATGGGGAAGAAATGGAAGTAAGAGGTAGGTGGACATATCCGTGGGCAGATCCAGTTATATATGGGTGTTTCTTCAACTATGGACACATTTGGCTCGGTGGACCAAAAGTGAGAAAATAAACTCTTGTCAAACATACATACATCACATATACAGTATATATATAGTGTTTGATAACATTC